CTGTTCCAGGCCTCCTCCCAGTCATTGAAATTTAACCTATAACCAATATTTTTTTCCCAAATATTTAATTGATTTCTGGCTATTCCTTCTGCCCTGTCCTCGCCTAGCAGCAAGTTGTAGAATTTCGCTAACATTTTCTTTTGAATCCCCAACATAATTTTGTCCAAATTGTTGTGCTTCGCCTCTATACCAAATTGGTCCCTATCTTTTTGATATCTTGATCTTATCTGTAAGTAGCTCCACCAGTCTAAATTAAAGCCTTGATTTCTTAATATTTCCCGAGATTTAAGGATTCCGTTGTCATCTAATATGTCTTTATACGTGCCGAATTTTAGAATATCTCTTTTATTTGAGGCGGTCAGGGCCTCCATAATTGAAAGCCAATTTGGTACTTTCACATAAAATCTTTGCCTAATTTCTTCCCATGTTTGAATAAGGGTCTCCCTTAATTTATGTTTATGAAAATATGATTTTTTTTTGTTCTTTAAATCCCATAAATAGGCGTGCTAGCCTGCCTGTAGATCATGGCCTTCTAATGTCAAGATTCTCTTGTTTTGTAATGTGACCCATTCTTTAATCCATACTAGTTTAGCCGCCTTCTGATATACTTCCCAATCAGGTAATCCAAAGCCACCCATGTTTCTTTTCCCTTGTAGTGTCTTATATGCAATCCTTGCCTTCTTCCCTTCCCATAAAAAGTCTCGCACTTTCTTTTCCAGATCCAAGAAATATTTTTTGTCGAGATTCACTGGTATAGTTTGGAATAAAAATATAATTTTGGGGAGAATGTTCATCTTGATTGCTGCAATCTTACCTGTTAGGGATAGTTTTAACTTCTTCCATCTATCTATATCCTGCTTTATTTTTTGTAGTAATGGGATGTAGTTATCCTCCTTTAAAGAGGAGTATCTTGAAGTAATCCATATTTCCAAGTACTTTATTTTCTTCACTATCTGAAGATCTAAGGACTTTTCTAGCTCTTTCTTATTTGCCTCTGTCACATTTCTTACTAATATTTTAGTTTTTGTTTTATTAAGTTTAAAGCCAGCAACTTCTCCATACTGTTGTACTTCCTGGAGTAATTTAGGGCCAGATTTCAAGGGATCTTCTATTATTAAGGCCACGTCATCCGCAAAGGCTTGTGTTTTAAATGTTTCTTTCTTGATTTGAAGTCCTTTAATTTCTTTGTTATCTCTGATCTTTCTAAGTAAAATTTCCAGCGCCATTATAAAAAGTAGAGGAGACAAGGGGCATCCCTGTCTAACTCCCTTTTGTATCCAAAATGTCCGCGTCTTGTCCCCATTTATTAGAATACTTGCCCTCTGTTTATGGTAGATATTTTCGATCATCTTTCTAAAATTTGTCCCAAATCCCATTAGGTCAATTTGGTTAACCATAAATTTCCAGTTCAGGTTATCGAACGCCTTTTGGGCATCCAAAAACAGTAACGCCAGCTATTTTTCTGGGTGCTGCTCATAATATTCTATGACATTTATTACAGTCCTCAGATTATCTCTCATTTGCCTCCCTGGGAGGAATCCCTTCTGATCGTTATGAATCCAGCCATTTAAAAATTTTTTTAGTCTTTCCGCAATTATACTTGTAAATAATTTGTAATCTGAATTTAGTAAAGAAATGGGCCTATAATTTGCTATTTGTTTCGGGTCAGCACCTTCTTTCAATATGAGTGTAATGTAAGTTTCCTTCTAGGAGTCTGGGATTCTTGTGCCAACTAAAACCTCATTAAATATTTCTAACAATTCTAGTTGTAGTTCTTCCTCAAATTTTGTATATATTTCCCCCGGAAGACCATCTGGGCCTGGTGTTTTGTTTTTTTTAATTTTGGTAAGAGCCAATTTGAGTTCTTCTATTGTGATTTTATTGTTTAGCATTTCCTTCTCTTCTTCTGTTATCTGTGGCAGGTTAGCTTCCGTCAGGTATTGTTCAGTTTTGTCTGGGTCGATCCCTTCATCTTTATATAAGGCTTCATAGAATTCTCTCACTGTTTCTAATTTATCCTCTTCTTTTGTCAAGATATCACCTTTGGAATCTTCTAATGTAAGGATTTGATTTTTTTCCTGTTCTTTTTTTAATCTATATGCTAGCCACCTTCCAGACTTATTAGCATTCTCAAAATGATAATGTTTTATTCTCTTAATTTTTTGCGCCAACTCCTCCTGATCCAGAATATTGAGATTATGCCTTGCCATCATCCATTTTTGTTTAGCCACCTCGTCTCCCGGGTTTTGTTGTAATTTACTATCCGCTTCTTCTAGCTTCCTATTATAAGCCTCCCTAGCTTTCCTTTTTTCCTTATTTTTGAACGCCATATGCGATATTGCTACTCTCTCACATACGCTTTCATGGTATCCCATACAATTTCCTTCGCCATGCCTTGCTTACCATTTTCAATAAAGAAGCGCTTGACTTCTTCATTTAATTTTATTATAAACTCTTTTTCATTCAAAAGGTTAGTCCTTAGACTCTCTGTTGCTTTCTCTTATTTGTATAATGCCAATTTATTTCAAGAAGTTTATGATCTGCCCAGGTATTTGTACATATATCCGCTTTCTTAATTTCTAGACCTAGTTTTCTAGTAGTCCATACCATGTCAATTCTGGACCAAGAGTTCTGTGAAGTTGAGTAAAAAGTATATTGGGGATCATACGGGTGTAGAGTATGCCACACATCAATTAAATTTATTTCATGCACCAGATCGAAAAAGCTTTTTGGCAGAGGTAATCTTTTATTTTTTTTTCTTTCCCCACTTTTATAATCTTTCTCTGGGTTGACAATACCATTAAAGTCCCCTAACATACATATTTCAACATGGGCCCAATTTCCTAATTGTTCATGTAGTTTTTTGTAGAATTGTCCCTGTTTTTTATCATCAACATCATTTTTGAGTTACCTCTCTTAATTTCTACCATTAGAGTTCTCCCTTTGGTGTCTTTATATTTTAATTCTGCCTCAGTTCCTTTTTTTCACATACATAACCACTCCCCTTTTCTTTTTCTCTGCTAATGACATAAATACTTTGCCAAATTTAGTAAATTCTAGGCTATTTACCTCATCTTTTTTTATGTGAACCTCCTGTATACAAATGATGTCTGGGTTCTGTTTTAACATTTAGGGATAAGATTTTTAGGCCGTCCATTTCTAGTGTTATGTCCGGTTTCTAGTTCTTGTTTGTCTTTAATGTTACTGCTCTTACTTATTTTAGTAAGTGAAAACTTCTCATCCATAGCTACTCATAAGTTACTCATCACATATGTGATTCTTTGGGACTGCATCAGGAAAAATTACCTTTCCTCTCTTTGTACTTCGCTATGCTGTGTTGAAAAAAGCCTTCTTTTTTCTTGTTTATGCTAATTGTGGTTGTATGAGAGTAATTCACGTACTCGCCTCTTCAGATTATCTGAATTTTCTTGAACACAGTTGTATTAGGGCTCCCAGATCTGAACTAAGAAAATCTGGACAATGATCAGATGGAAGCAAAGAAACTAGGCACTATCGCTTTACTGCCATTTCACAATCTTTTATCTGGTAGCATTAATTGTATAATAGAATGTTTTCTTATTTATTCCTTTAGCACATGTTTTCTTGCATTATTTTAAGATTGCATTTGTTATTAGGCAATTTGTCTATGCGTGGCAGTGAAAAAGAGGGCTGGAAATGAAAATAATGTATGGTCTGTATTTTCTAGTTTGGAGAAAATGACTGAATGTTTTGGGGGGCTTGCCTCATACTCAATCAATCTCTCAACAAGTCAACCAGGTAGTCTAAGGTTATGAGTAGGCAACCTGTTTTCTTGTCATGGTTAAGAAATTGCCAGAGGTGTCTCCAAAATGCTCCACCAATTTAGTAAGCCTACTAAACACTATTTGCTTCTTTTAGATACTATACTATATATACTATACTGACTACACAATGAATAAAATGGATAGATGTTTGGCTGAAGGGCAATACTACATGATCTATATAGATCCATCACACTATATTCTTTAGGAACAGGCAACATTATTCAGAGTGCAGAAAAAGAATTGGAAATATTTTACTTTGTGAATACTCTGGATTTCTATTTTTTTTAAAAAAAAAAATTTGCACAAAAAACAGCCTTCCCTACCCTGCCACCCTCCAGATGCATTTATTTATTTTATTTATTTATTGGTTCGATTTATATGCCGCCCTTCTCCGGAGACTCAGGGTGGCTTACAATGCATTAAGCAATAGCCTTCATACTTTTGTATATACTTGCTTAGTAGGGCTTTTGCCCCCCCCCCAAGTGGTGTTCTTTTTTATACAAAGTCAGCTTATTGCCCCCACAAACCGGGTCCTCATTTTACCTACCTCAAAAGGATGGAAGGCTGAGTCAACCTTGAGCCTGGTGAGATTTGAACTTGCAGTAACTGCAGGCAGCTGGTGTTACTTAACAGCACTTTAGTCTGCTGCGCCACCAAGGCTCTACATTACAACTTTGCATTACAACTCCCATTAGCTTCCAATGACACCCCCCATAAAGAAGTGGGTAAGCATGCTGAGACTTTAGCCCAAATACAACTAGAGGATGAGACGATCAGGAAAACTGTCAGAGGAATTATAACATTGAAAATTTAGTTTTTCAAACATATGGCTTTAATATCCACTCTAATGTTGTCCATTTCTTTGTGAAAAAGGATAGTTTGCCATTTCTGTATAGGCTTGTGTTATTTTTGAATGCTTCTATGTCTGAAAATAACATAATGTATGCTTTGTGATGAAAGCAGAATAGATGGTACTAAAATGTCTCTCTTTCCCTTCCTCTCCTCTTCCCCCTCCCCTTTCCCCTTTTTCTGTTATAAATCCCCTGAAGGCAGACTTAGCTGAACAAGTTAAACTAGTTCTTTCTGTCTTGTTTTGTTGGCAAATGAGAAGTTACTTTCTTATAAAAACAGAAGGGAGGCGTGCTGATTGGATATGGTACTAGAAAGGATATGACATCAGCCATATTCCTCACTTTGTTCTGTGTGTCTTAAATCTTCTTATACTTTTTTATTCAGTCAATGAAGAGGTGTTCTGAAAATGTCTTATATGTTTTGGACACTGTTGACAGTAGCTGCAGAAATCCCTTAATAAATAACTCGTGGAACTTGAATCTGGGTTGTTTTTATTTTTGGTTGGTTAGTATGTTTGTTTTAAAAGAGGCAAGTTGGAATTTGAACTCTCATGATCTCAACTGTGAAGTGGAATAACTGTAGCCCAGTATTGCAATGGATGTGGAAGAAGAAGTTATCGGTCTTTGCCTATTTCGAAGTTCAGGAAGGGTCACTCATCCACGTTATTTACTTAATCCACTGATGGGTGGTAAGTACACACTCTGTTATCTGCAGTTTCATAGCCGAAGTGAAAAAGCCAGAGAAGTTGTGAGTTGGCAGTTAGCAGAATTTATTTCTTTAGAATAAATGTTTTTTCAGCAGAGAAAATAATCAATAAAAAGGATCAAATGCAGAAAACACAGAAGAGTATGCAACAAGAGTTGCTAATATAGAGATTTTTTTAAGGCTGAGAATTTAGAAATGTAAACTATATTATCTGTTTGACTTTTACATTGCTTCATAGCATCACCATAAAATATGAGAAAGTTGATTAGTTGGCATAATAATTTGAACAATATCCTTGGGTCCTCCTCTTTTTACTGTATGGATGATGCTTTGAATAATATTAGAGTTTGTGTATCTTTTACAGCTAGGGATAATTCTTTCAGTGTAATATTGGAATTGCAGCAACAATGACTTTAGCATTCACCCCATAATGTCTCACTGTTGATTTTCTGCTTGCAAACTTTTAATTTTTTTTTTTTTACTAAAAATGGCAGCATGCATATGCAATAATTACTATGATATGTTTGTGATCTGCAGTTTATGTTGAAATTCTATAGGGCTTCAGTGCTCTCAGCAAACATACTGATTTTCTGCAACAGAAAATAGGTTAACCTTAGTAGTTATTCCTACTTATACAGTATTCCATTTATATCAATAATAGGTGTTTATCAATAACAGGTATTTATATAAATTTAAAGCTGAGTCATATAATCTTAAATGCATTTTAATTCAAAAAGTTATATGTATTAAACAGGTTGCAAAAAAAAAGCAAAAAATTAAAACTGGGAGAAAAACATCTGAATTGTGACATTTTTACAACTCTAGACACTTGTATGGAAAATAGTTCCTTTATATTCAGTAGTCAGAAAGATTTTATTCCACCACCACCCTTCAATCCCTGAAGATTATAACTTCTGAGAAACAAGTTCAGAGTAGAGATATGAGATGAAGGATTTTTTAAAAATGAGAAACAAAGTTCCATTCTTCACTCTCAGAATTTTTCTGAGTCCCTACATCCTTAAATGTTAGAAAAAAATATTAATATATTTCTGCTATCTTTAATCTTCTAAATAATTTCTAAAAGTTATAGAAAGGTTTCTATGTAAACTTTGTGTATGTACACAATTCTTATACCTACTAGACAAACACAATGGTAAGCTGAATTTGTGGTAGGGACACAAATAATTTGCATGGGAGTAGTTTATAAGTAACATATATATGTGGTTCAACCCTTAACAATATTGTCAGAATTTGTGGTCTGGTAATCTAACAAAATATCAGTTGTTAAAAATATAAAATTTAAACTACATATTATTTAACTTGGGTATCTTGTAGATACCAGCTGATAATTCTCACATGTTGTATGATGCTCACTAATGATGCTTTATATTTTTAGTATGAATGCTATTGAGTTAAAAGTTGTTTTATAGCACACATAAAAAGAAAAGATTGGAAACCAACCAATATAATCAACTCTTAAATATAAGTACAAGAATATATTTCTTCCATCCTGGAAATATTTTACATCAATATGAAACTTAGTTGCCTTCTGTGTAAAACTTCCTACATCTGCCAACAACCATGTATTGATTTTGAAGGATTATAACCTTGATAGTTAGTATATTTTTTATTACTTTATTCATATAGAGCTGTGAGGGCGAACCTATGGCACACGTGCCACAAGTGGCACGCGGAGCCATATCTGTGGGCACGCAAGCACTACCTTAGCTCAGCTCCAACGCACATGTGCGTGCTGGTCAGCTGATTTTTAGGCCTTCCGGGCTCACCGGAAGTCAGGAAACGGGCCGTTTCCAGCCTCCAGAGGCCGTTTTTGTCCTCCCCAGGCTCCTAGAAAGGCTCTGGAGCCTGGGGAGGGCGAAAAATGGGCCTTCAGGTCCCACTGTGCCATCGCGTGCCAATAGCAGGGGGAGCGGGGGGGAGTCGCACTCACACGCGTGGGGGGGGCAAGGCGCATTGAATTATGGGTCTGGGCGTGCGTACGACCCCCCTGTGCTCCCCCCGCTTTTGGCACGCAATGGCAAAAAGGTTAGCCATCACTGATATAGAGAATTTCTCATGTAGGGAAATTTCAGATATATATTAGATCACTGACATTTGAAATATGACAACACTATCTTAATAGTATTTATTCAATTCAATGGTTCTTGCACAGTAACATTTACTCTTGAGAGCAGTTTTCTCTAAGGTGTCTGGCAGTTATTTTTCCATCAATATTACCCTGCTGTTGCAATTGAAATGTCAGGAATTGAACAAAGACTATCTTGTAAACTAAATTTAAGTATATATGTTATACCTAATAATAGTCAAATTATAAAAGTTTATACCCCTATAGAAAGTAACTGCCTTTTAATATTTCTTCAGACCCAAGTTCTTGCTTCTTTTTTAATAAAAATAAATTACATGCTAAAACGTATCTCTAGTACTTCCAGTACAGATCACACCCAAAGAAATCATCTTTGTAAATTTTGCTTTGTGACAGAAATCCTTCAAAGCAATTATTTTTTCTTACATTTTTCCTGTTATTCTAATGGTAAGTCTGTAGTTTGGATATGCTGATGGAATCAGCCCAGGGTATTACTGGGCTAAAGTGAAGATATAAAAATGAAGTGCTGACTTTGCATCTTTAACAAGAGACATGTTGGGAGGGCATGCCTGAGTTTATTACCACTTAATCTTTTTGCCTATGCAAATAATAGCTGCAGAATACAGAGCTGTTTCACCAAATTCAATGCCCTTTTTGAAAGGATATTTGATTCATTTATTTTGACTGAGCTGGAACTATTGGCACAATGCCTGTTAATTTAGCCAGGAGCAAGACTAATTTTGTAGCTGTGTTTAATTATTGAAACCTTTGAATGGTTTAACTCAGCACACACTTTTATTTGAAAACCTTTCTCTGTGAAATCAGCTGTGCTATTGACCTTATAACTCCCCTACTTTAACTAACATAGCATATGATCCTCCTCATGATTAGTGACTTTGTTTTCTGGAAGCTAACTATGTATAAAAGGTAAATGATAATAGCTCAGACCTAGCTACCACTACCACTGGGATATTTAGTCCTGTATTTATAGCTCATTTGGAGCTATTATATACCCTCACTGAAGATCAGTACACTCCTGGGATGGTAGTTGTCTTTCATCAAGTGCACAGCTTTGCGAGGACTTCCGGTGGCACCGCAGGCACTGACAGATGCTCCTTTTGGATCGTCAGCCCCGTGATTTCATTAAAACCGCCAAGACAGCGCAAATCAGCTGTCTGGCGGCTTGGAAACCTTCCCCTCTGGAGAAGAGAGGAAGGCGAGCAGCCGGACAAAGGTAGAGCTCCCCAAAAGCCCTAGGAGCAATTCTGGGGCTTGGAGGGTGAGAGTTCCCTGGTAGTTCAACTGAGCTCCGAATCCGAGGCTTTTCTGCTTCAAGCAGAACAAGATGCCGCAACCACCCCTGCAATCAACATTCAGATTCAAAATAAGCTTAAAACAGGCAAAACAAAAACAGGAGTCCTAGCAACTGCAAGTACTGAACTTTAACTCTGTGTCTATACTTCTTCCTTCTAAGACTTTTAAAACGAAAGCAAAAATGGCGCCTGAACTGTAACAGGGCGTGAAAGTGAAAGTTATAGTGAGAGTGATAGTTAACATCGTTAGCGCTTCTAAGGCTGTTTAAGATTACTGGGTTCTACAATAAAGAAAGAAAGATTTAAAGTGGAAAGACTACAGTTTGGAAATAAACCAGATAGATGGTTAGCCTACTTGTTAAGGAAAAAACAAAAGCTACGTACTATAGAAAAAATAGAATACAAAGATAAAGAGGTATATCAACAAAATATGATTAAAAAAGCTTTTCTAGAATTCTATACAAAGTTATATGCTAGTGATACAATTCAAGGCAAAGATATAGATAGATATTTACAGGAGGAGAATATCCCTGTAATTACACCAGAGCAAAGGGAAGGATTGAACCAACCAATAACTTCAGAAGAAATTATTTTAGCAATTAAACAGTTAAAGGGGGATAAAGCTCCAGGCAGAGATGGACTGACAGCTGTTTATTATAAAAATTTGCAGTTAGAAATGGTAGAACCGCTTAAGGAACTATTTTGTAAGATTCAAGCCGGAAGAGATGTACCCCCTTCTTGGAGAGCATCTTTTATTTCATTGATTCCAAAGAAGGATCAAGACCGTAGTCAACCTAAGAATTATAGGCCAATATCGCTTTTAAATACTGATTATAAGATTTTTGCTAAAATATTAGCAAATAGGTTAATGGTACTCATGCAACAAATGATTTATAATGACCAATCTGGATTTATCAGAAACAAACAGCACAAATAATAATGGTGGTTTAACAGAAACTTTTAAAATTGAAAAAGGAACAAGACAGGGATGCCCTCTATCACCATTATTGTTTATTTTAACTTTGGAACCTTTATTGAATAAAATTCGAAGGTCAAATAAAATAAAGGGAATTAAAATTAGACATCATGATTATAGATTAAGAGCATTTGCAGATGACTTGGTTGTTACTTTAACTCAACCAGTACAATCAGCTACAGGTTTAATGGATATAATTAGCCAATATGGACAAATGTCTGGATTTAAAATAAATAAACAAAAAACAAAGATAATAACTAAAAATATGACAGTAAAGCAAAAAGAAGACCTAGAAAGACTAACAGGATTTAGTAATCCTGTTGGGGAAATAGTAAAAAAGGTTAAATATCTAGGGGTATATATCACAGCCTCAAATGTAAAATTATATAAAAATAATTATGAATTGTTACGGCAAAAAATACAGAAAGAGATGGAGAATTGGGGAAAGCTACAATTATCTCTGTTAGGAAGAATAGCAGCAATAAAAATTAATGTTTTACCTAGGTTTCTATTTTTGTTTCAAATGATACCAATACTCAAGAAAGATGAAAATTTGAGAGAATGGCAGAAGGATATTAATAATTTTGTTTGGGCAGGGAAAAGACCGAGAATAAAGTTAAAAATAATGCAAGATATACGTGAAAGAGGAGGTCTTAAAATGCCTAATCTAAGATTATACTATGAAGCAGCTGTCCTAACAATAATTAGTGATTGGATTAACTCAACAGAAGAAAGAATATTGAACATTGAAGGATATGATTTATTATATGGCTGGCATGCTTACTTATATGATAAAAAGGTAGATAAGACCTTTAAAAGCCATATATTAAGGAATGCCTTGTTACGAGTTTGGAAAAAGTATCAATATAAGTTAAATTATAAGATACCTATATGGGCAATACCCAGACATGCGATAGAACAAAAGCAAGAGGTGATTACTTATAAAGAGCTTCTTAAAATGGAAGGGGTGTATTGCAGTTAAAATCTTTAAATGCATTAAAAGAAGAAAGAATAATTCAAACTTGGTTTCAGTATGGTCAGTTGCAACCTAGATGGAAAGAAGATCAGAGAAATGGTATCATGCAGAACGAGGAAAATTTGGTAAAACAAATTAGAGACCAAGGTCAAATGCATATAAAAAGATTATATAATGTATTGATAGAAATAGATTCAGAAACGGAATTAGTTAAGGACTGCATGATAAAATGGGCACAAAATATTCAGGAACCAATAATGATGGAAACTTGGGAAAAAATATGGGTTAGAAATGTAAAATTTACACAAGCACAAAATTTAAGAGAAAATTTTTATAAAATGTTCTATAGATGGCATTTAGATCCTAAAAAGTTGGCTTGTATGTATCCAAATTTGCAATCTAAGTGTTGGAGATGTGATTATGATGATGCCACTTATTATCATATATGGTGGACTTGTAAAAAAGTTAAAGCATTTTGGATTAAAATATGGTGGATTATCCAAAATATTCTTAAAAAGAAGATAAAGTTTATTCCACAATTGTTTTTTCTGGGTATAATTACAGATTGTACGGTTATAGAGACTAAATTGATCTTAAATTTAATAACTGCAGCTAGACTTTTGGTGGCGCAATATTGGAAGAAGGAAGATTTGCCTACTATTGACGAATGGACATTAAAAGTAGCGAATCTGGCAGAAATGGTGAAGATTTCAGCATATTTGAAAGATCATTCACAAGAAAGATATATATCGGAATGGAGAAGATGGATTGATTATATTCAAAACAAATATCAGACTAAAAAGTATCAAATAGCTTATGAATGAATAGAAAAATTAAGAGTATTTATATTTAGTTAGGTAAAAGGAGAGTTAAAGTGTGAAGGGGGGGATAGGAATCCTTAGTTAATTAGTTTAGCTTAGCATATGATTGTTAATTTATTTATTTTTATTTATTTATTTTAAATTTATATACCGCCCTTCTCCCTGAGGACTCAGGACGGTATACAGCCAGAATTAAAAAACATAAAATACAAATATTAAAAAACAATTAAAATATATATAAATTTGGCCCAAAATTAAAAATACAAACCAATTAAAACATTTAAAATTTCTTCTTAAGCCAGCCCGGCTTGCTGGAAAAAGTGGGTTTTAAGGGCATGGCGGAAGGCACTAAGGTCTTGGATTCTCCTTATCTCTGGGGGCAACTGATTCCAGAGGGTAGGTGCCCCCACAGAGAAGGCCCTCCCCCTGGGGGTCACCAGCCTACATTGATTGGCTGATGGCACCCTGAGGAGGCCCTCTCTGTGGGAGCGCACGGGACGATGGGAGGTCGTCGGTAGCAGCAGGCGGTCTCAAAGATAGCTAGGCCTGATGCCATGGAGCACTTTAAAGGTGATAACCAGCACCTTGAAGCGCACCCGGAAGACCACTGGGAGCCAGTGCAGCTCGCGCAGGAGTGGAGTTACATGGGAGCGCCATGCTGCTCCCGTCACTAGACTAGCAGCAGAATGCGCTGCTGCATTCTGGACCAGTTGGAGCCTCCGGGTGCTCTTCAAGGGGAGCCCCATGTAGAGAGCGTTGCAGTAGTCAAGGCGAGAGGTGACGAGGGCATGAATGACTGTGCACAGGGAATCCCGATCAAGAAAGGGCCGCAACTGGCGAATCAGGCGAACCTGACAAAAGGTCCCCCTGGTTACAGCTGTCAGATGTTCCTCCAAGGACAGCTGCATATCTAGGAGGACTCCCAGATTGCGAGCCCTTTCTGTGGGGGCCAAAGACTTGCCCCCAATAGTCAGTGATAGAGTCAACTGACTATATCGGGATGCCGGGAGCCACAGCCACTCAGTCTTGGAAGGGTTGAGCTTGAGCCTGTTCCTCCCCATCCAGATCCGCACAGCCTCCAGGCACTGGGACATCACTTCAAGGGCATCATTGGGGTGGCCTGGGGTGGAGATGTACAGCTGGGTGTCATCAGCGTACTGGTGGTATCTCACCCCGAAGCCACGGATGATCTCGCCCAGCGGCTTTACATAAATGTTGAACAGAAGGGGCGAGAGGACCGATCCCTGCGGCACTCCACAGATGAGAGGCCTCAAGGTCGACCTCTGCCCCCCTGCCAACACAAACTGCGACCGGTCGGAGAGAAAGGAAGAGAACCACCGCAACACGGTGCCTCCCACCCCCAACTCTTCCAGCCGGTGCAGCATGATACCATGGTCGATGGTATCAAAAGCCGCTGAGAGATCTAACAGGACCAGAACAGAGGAGCAACCCCTGTCCCGAGTCCTCCAGAGATCATCAACCAACGCGACCAATGCTGTTTCCGTGCTGTGCCCAGACCTGAAACCTGACTGGAACGGATCTAGATAAGATGTTTCCTCCATGAATTGTGGGAACTGTCGCGCGACCACACTCTCCACAACCTTCGCCGTGAAGCGAAGGTTGGAGACAGGACGGTAGTTGGCCAATATTGCCGGATCAATAATTGTTATACCCTGTATTTTGTTCTGGGAAGTTCGGGGTGGGGGTGGGGGGGTAAGGAGGGAGGGGGGGATGGGGAAATACTTGTAAAAAATTCTTTTTTCTTTTTGTAAAACTAATTTTAAAAAAAAGGACATAGCTTTGCAGGGACACACATGGAGTAGTAAGAGAAGAAGGGGACACCCGCCTAGCCAGCCAGATTAGCCAAATCAACCCTGGTGATAATGGAGCAACAGTGTTGCAGCCAACTCGCCCTCACATCCAAATCCAGCCCTGTACTTATAATTTATATGACAGTTGGGAGTGATGGGAATTGAAATCCAACATGTATGTGGGGTAACAAGTCATCTATCATTGTGACGATATTCTTTCGACAATACTGCATCTGTGCTGGAATTACTAATAATAATAACTTCTTACTAATATAATTATATTTATGTTATAATTATTATATTACTAATATAATAATATATTAATGATAATGTTGAAATTAGAAAGGCCACAAATCTGAAAGAAAATTGAGTTAAATGGGGTCATCTTATCATTTAATTCACTTAACCAAAAGCAAGAATATTCATGAACATTTTATCCTTAAAAAAAATGAGGCCATACTGTCAAAGTTCATGCTTAAAGTAAAAGACCATTTAAAATAATTGAAAAGACATGAAATTGAAAGATCCTTTTAATTCTTTTTCATGTAAATAAGAGGGACAACATTTTTGCTGGTCTGCATTTCTTGATAGCCTTTATTGCTGAATTGTGTTTGTTTAGCACTACATTAATTATCTGACACAATGTGAAAACAAAGTGTCAGATAGGAAATGCAATTTTTCATTTTTATAATCAAACTGAACAGAAACCTAGTCATTACCAATTGCTGGACAATTTTTAGAAAAATTTACAATAACTTTTTGATATGTTGTATTAATACTATACTGCCGTTACATCTGTTACTTTAGAACCAAATAGTAAACAGAGTTTTACTGACCCATACACCAAGGAACTTCGATTCTAAAGGAGAAAAATGAAGGAAAGGAAGGTAGAGCTTATAAATTAATTACTGTGTACTTATGTAGCAAGTTAGTTGTAGGCTGAGTTCATGTGCAGTGTAGTAACTCAGGCACTGTGTTAAGCCCTTGCAGAAGAGGCACTCTTAGAAGTAACATTTACAGTAGATGATAGAGGAGAGGTGGTTTATTTAACTTCTCTGGTGAGCATGTTAGCCATACCAGATAGCAAGAGAGAAATAGTGAAGTTGTTTAAGTTCTTCAGGTATCACTGTAGGAGCAAAGTCACAATTAGATATTTTGTGATATAAGTGGAAACAGAAAACATGGGTCATGGATCTAATACATTGGATCTAGAAATGGAAAGAAATCTGGAATATAAGACCTGACGTTGTGGAATCAGAGCTGTTCTTAATATAAATAAATTTGATGGGCAAATGGAATAGAGTGTGTGAATGGTGTCTACTCATTGAAATTGATATGCCCCAAATGCAGTTCAGAATTCTTGCTGTGGTACTCAGGAGCAGACTTTGAAACTCATTCCTGCCTTATGTCATGTGCATAACTCCCACATTAAGGTCATGCATGAAATCTGCTTTAGTTAAGGAGTTTTACATTATTTTAGTTTTGTTGGAGGTAAAAAAAGCTGTGCCTTTTTTGTAAATTGTTTTTCCCATAGTAGGCAGCCAAATAAAATGAGCAGCATAGCTTTTTTATCTGTTTCATTAAGTGTGATATTTTGCTTTTTTCCCCTGAGTTATATAGGACTTAAGATAAGAATAACCTGTCAGATAATAAAATATACTTGCCTTTTCTTATTGAAGTAATATGAAGTATTTAATCACATTGAAACCCATAGATGTGTATAATCTTAGAAAATCCCTTTAGGTAGTTGGAGCTTTATTAAGGTATTATCCAAATTCAAGTACAGAGATATACTAATTAAATTATATCCTTTTTCTCAATCTTCATACAGATTTTGTTTCTGACTGGTCTCCTTTACATGAAGCATCCATTCATGGGAGACTACTTGCTCTGAAGAAACTTATCAATCAGGTATGGTGATAGAAAGGAGATCAATCTTTTGCTTATCCTGATCATTAAATCCTTTTCTGAAGACAGGCTGTACTTCATACAGTAAGGATATAAGATTGACTGTGCTTTGACTTCAAGGAAATCTATATTACAGTATTTTCTCTCTCTCTCCCCAATGTTTACAGCTAACTTTCTCATTTTTATTTACACACATACATGCACATCATTAAAACACTAGTACCTCAAATGTGCCATTGACAATCTGAGGGCCAGAAATCTACTGAACAGTGCTGTTTTTGCCTGCTCACAAAGTAATTGCAGAGTTAAAACCACCCTTAGCTTTGAGGAGGAGACTGTTCCATAAAATGGGGCCACTACTGAAGTTTGTTATATGATCCATACCTTCCATCCATTACAGGTTGGAGGGAATGGACCAGCAACTGGTGTTCACTAAATGACTGTGCAGGTGGCACATTCAAATTTAGCAAGATATTTCCAGATCTCTCCCAGTGCTCTGCTGTAAAAAAACCTACCCATTATAACCAGCACTTGAATTGAACCTAGCCTTTTGGTAACCAATGATGTGACTTTGGAATAGGAATATAGGTAGTCCTCAGTTTATGATCAGTTGCTTAATGGCCTTTAAAAATTACAATGGATACCCACCCCCAAAGGTTCTTATGACCCAGTTCTGAAGTTCTGATAGCCACCTTCCTTGTAGTCATGTGATTGCATGTCAGGTGCTCTGTAACCGGCTCACATTTGTGGCTGTTTGTGATGTTCTACAGTCATATATTTTACAATATTTTTGTCCAAACTAGTATTTAATTCAGGTTTTTGAGAAAAACATGCCAGAGCTAACAATGGTTTCACATTATCACTATTGCATTCACTTTATGTATGCTGTGTTTATGATCACCTCATTCTTAATTTGAGCTTGTTTGGCCCCAACTAAATCCTTACAGTCTTCAGACACTCATTCAGGAATTCCATGGTATCTCTCGTTGAGCTTATATGTTATTGTATATGTGGGTACATATGGTCCCCAATTTATGACAATTTGTTTAATAACTGCCTGAAGTTATGGCAATGCTAAAAAAGTGACTTACAACTAGTCCTTGTGGCCACATGATCAGAATTCAGGAGCCGGCATATATTTATGATAATTTCAATGTCATGGGATCATGTGATTATCCAGGGGTGTGTTCTACCTACCTTTACTACCGGTTTGCAATGGGGCCGTGCACACGCTCGCTTCACTCACGCATACGCACACTTCTGCACATGCGCCAGTGGTGAAATCTAAAATTTGTTACTACCGGTTCTGTGGGCGTGGCTTGGGGAGGTAATGTGACTGGGTGGGCGTGGCCTTTTTTTTTCTTTTAAAACCATTTTTTCTACATTTTTCTACCATTTTTTCTCTTCAGCGAAGAGATTGTAGAAAAAATGCTTTTAAAAGCCTCTGAAGATCCCAGCTGAGTTGCCTGATCGGCAGAGGCTTTTTTCCTTTTAAATGTCTCTGACGATCAGGCAACTCAGCTTGGATCCACAGAGGCTTTTAAAAGAAAAAAGCCTCTTCTGATCAGGCAACTCAGCTTGGATCGTCAGAGGCATTTAAAAGAAAAAAAGCCTCTGCCGATCAGGAAACTTAGCTGGGATCCTCAGAGGCTTTTAAAAGCATTTTTTCTACAACCTTTTCAGAGGTTGTAGAAAAAATGCTTTTAAAAACCTTTGAGGATCCCAGCTGAGCCGCGCGATCATCAGTGGCTTTTTTTTTTTTACTTTTAAAAGCATTTTTTTGGCCAAAGAGGTAGAAAAAATGCTTTTAAAAGTAAAAAAAAAAATCCTCTGATGATTGTGCGGCTCAGCTGGGTATGGGGGGGAGGGCAGGGATTTGTGCTACCAGTTCTCCGAACTACCCACCTTGATCGCTACCAGATTGGGTGATCCGGTCCGAACCGGGAGCATTTCATCCCTGGCATGCGCAGAAGCATTTTGATGACATCAGGGTCGGTGGGCGGACCCTCCCACTGGTTTTACTACCGGTTCTATAGAACAGGTGCGAACCTGGGGCAACTCACCACTGTGGTCATTGTGACCTTCACAGAGGGCTTCCAACAAGCAAAGTCAGTGGGGTTCATTTAACAATAACATGAGATGCTTAGCAATTGCAGCAAAAAAGGTAAAATCAGATACTTAATGACATATTGCTTACTGACAGAAGTTCAGGACCCAATTGTGATTGTGAGGACTACCTGAACTACCATCCACATAGGGATAACACTTCAATTGGTGAATGAGTTTCTCCATCTTCTTCATGCAGAAATTAAAAAATATGGAGAAAAGCAGCAATCCTTGAAAAGCCTTGGAGTTCCTTGCAGATTCATTTCGTTATAGCGATTGATTATGTGGCATTCATGCATTTTGATTTCATTGTGGTGTGTAAAAATAACTTACATCCATGCTTGACATTTCATCTTAAACATGAATAGGATAGTGAGAAACAAAAAAGGATGGCTGAGAAAAAAAGTATAGATTCTATAAAATTCTGTCCTGATTTGCTGAGTCATTTGTAGAAAAATAGGAAGTAAAACAGTAAAAAATAGTTAAAATGCAATGTAGTTGTGTAGGTTCTTCTTCACCTAATCCAGAAGAATAAATCTTTTTGACAGGAAGAACAGTTCAGCGCTCAAATTTTCAATGATTTGCTAAAAAATGCACCCATGCACCCATGGTGGAAGTCAGATGCGAATTATATGTGATCAATCAGGATTTAATTAAAATTAATTTATGTGAATGTATTAATTTCTTCCTCTTTCACATTAAAATACACCTAAAAATAAATATTTTTTGAGGAGCTTTCAAAGCAGCCTTCTGCTCTGAGACTATACTTGTGGACTTCTGGTCATTGAAACTTTGCAAGTAAATCAATCAATTTAAATAAAACTATCTTTGTAAGTAAATATTGTTTTATTTTGAAGGCTTCAGAGAGCTTGAGTGACTTAATTTCTCTTTTTGCCTTTTTTGAACCCATACTTTCATGCTTTTGAAAAAACAAAATAAAATGATGAGAAGAAACTAGTCAATCCTTTCTTCTCCATGTAGTGGTGGTAGTTGTGGTGGGATGTGGATCTTGACACATGTCAATTTTAGAAAACCCTGGAAGGGCATATCAGAGCTATTCATCACTACTCTCCCAGCTCAGATGTACAGGAAAAGTAAAACAGACTGATATCAAAAGTGAAAGTTTTCAATTAATGTTAGCTAGAACTATTGTTAAATTAAATGTATTTTTAAGCAGAGAACATTTATAAAGTTCAACTCCGTTTCCAGATAACTGCAGAAGAGCAATATTTTAAAAGTCAGGTTGTAGTCTGAAAATATACTAATGAACAGTTTGAAAAAGATGGAATCTCTGTATGCTGTTGACAGAAGCAAGGTTTTAGCTTTATTTCCGTTATAACTATATCCGTTCCAGTCGGGCTTTAGGCCCGGGTACAGCACGGAGACGGCATTGGTCCCATTGGTTGATGATCTCTGGAGGGCTCGGGACAGGGGTTGCTCCTCTGTCCTGGTCCTATTAGACCTCTCAGCGGCTTTTGATACCATCGACCATGGTATCATGCTGCACCGGTTGGGGGTGGGGGGCACCGTTTTACGGTGGTTCTCCTCCTTTCTCTCTGACCGGTCGCAGTCTGTGTTGACAGGGGGGCAGAGGTCGACCCCGACCCCTTGTATGTGGGGTGCCGCAAGGATCGGTCCTCTCGCCCCTTCTGTTCAACATTTATGTGAAGCCACTGGGTGAGATCATCCGTGGTTTTGGGGTGAAGTACCATCAGTACACTGATGACACCCAGCTGTACATCTCCACCCCAGACCACCCCAATGATGCCCTCGAAGTGATGTCCCAGTGCCTGGAGGCTGTACGGATCTGGATGGGGAGGAACAGACTCAGGCTCAATCCTTCCAAGACCGAGTGGCTGTGGTTTCCGACGTCCCGATATAGTCAGTTGGCGCCATCACTGACTATTGGGGGTGAGTCGTTGGCCCCCACGGATGGGGTTCGCAACTTGGGCGTCCTCCTGGACTCACAGCTGACTTTAGAAGAGCATATGACGGCCATGGCCGGGAGGACTTTTTATCAGGTTCGCCTGATTCGCCAGTTGTGTCCCTTTCTGGATTGGGACTCGTTACGCACGGTCACTCACGCCCTTGTCACCTCACGCCTGGACTACTGCAATGCTCTCTACATGGGGCTTCCCTTGAGGAGCACCCGGAGGCTCCAACTCAGTGGTTCTCAACCTTCCTAATGCCGCAACCCTTTAATACAGTTCCTCATGTTGTGGTGACCCCCAACCAGGGGTGGGTTCTAAATTTTTTTACTACCAGTTCTGTGGGTGTGGCTTATTTTATGGGCGTGGCTTGGAGGTCATGTGACTGGGTGGCCGTGGCTTGGAGGTCATGTGACCGGGTGGCCATGGCTATGTGTATAGGGACTATTCAGAGGGCTGAAAAAAGTCATTTCTGACAGGTCCTCGCACTTTTGACCATCCTCACATTTATGCCCGTGCAGCATTCTTAACAACCATGTCACTCATTTCACAACTGCTTCTTTTCACCATGGTGATAAGATAGGGCAAAAAACGTAAAATATGAGGATAGTCGTAAATTCGAGATCTGGTCAAAAGTGCGAGGATCAGTCAAAAATAACTTTTTCAGCCCTCTGAGTAGTCCATGTGCACAAAAGGACTACCCAGAGGGCTAAAAAAAGTTATTTCTGACAGGTCCTCACACTTTTGACCGGTCTTTGCACTTATGACTGGTCATCATTTATGCCCATTGTAGCATTCTTAACAACCGTGTCACTCATTTCACAACTGCTTCTCTTCACCATGGTGACAAGATAGGGCAAAAACGTAAAATGTGAGGACAGTCATAAGTTCGAGGACTGGTCAAAAGTGCGAGGACCAGTCAAAAATAACTTTTTCAGCCCTCTGAGTAGTCCATATGCATAAAAGGATACAGCAATAGAGAGGGATGAAGGAAGGGAAGGGAAATTAGAGTAGGAGTGAGGGTAAAAGAGGGAGGAAGAGAGGAGGAGAAGGAGAAAGGAAGAGGAAGTAGGGAGGAGAAGAGGGGGAAGAAGAGAAAGTAAGAAGGAAAGAAAAGAGAGAGGTGGTAGGTTTGAGGAGAAAGATTGCAGTACAATAAAAAAGATGAAAGGGAAGAAAGCCAACCCCAAACAAATATAAAGATATTAAGATAAAGAATGAATTGTTAAACTTTAAAGAATAAAAGAGAACAAATATGAATAAATAACAATAATTAGAAACACACATACAAACATACAATGTATTTTCTTTGAACAGAGTATTTGGCCGGTTCACAAATTTAAACAGTGTTTAGTCATTTCAATTAAATTTACAATTTCTATATTTCCTTTTTGCATATTTATTCCTCATCTATTTTTGTAAAAAACCAATATTACCCTTCATCCTCATCTCTAATCTTAATCAAATTCAGTTTTTCCCTTCTTTTCTATATTATACCCCTTCCCATTGTCATCTATTTTTATATCCATCCCCACATTGGTTAATTATGTAATATTACAGTTGTTTAATATAAATTCAACATTTTAATATAAATCAATTAGTTATATAACTACCTTTTTTGTATATTAATCAATATGAACATGAATATTCCAATTATTTCCATGCAATCCAATTTCTTACAAATTAATTAATTATATTTACCAATAATAATAAACCAAATAATTTCCCCCATATATTCCTCCAAACCACAGCTTAACCATTTCTGCTTTCAACACAATATACAATTAATACTATCTCAATTATTACAATTCCCTAGTTAAATAGAGCTTTTTTTCTTTTGTGTTTTAAAATCTTGAACTCTCCTCTTTTTCCCTAAATTTCCCATTGTTTGCACCTACCTTTTTTGGTGAGGAAAAAGAAAAGAAATCTGCCTGCCTAATTTTCCAACGTTGCAGCAACAGCAAAGCCAACAGCCTGCTTTACTTTCAGTTTCGTTTTTTCAGCATAGCTAGGGGAAAAAAAAATCTGCTCCAGCAAGCAGCAGAGCCCTGAGCAAAACAGCTGAGAGCAAATCAGCTGAGAGTCGGGAGCCGATCTAATCAAGCCTATGCTGAAGCTCCGCGGGCCAATAAAATTACAAAAACCGAACCGTTTGTTAAATTGCTGGCTCGCCCGCCCCTTGCCCACCACTATTTATTGGCAATAAATAGTGGTGCGGAGGGGCGGGGCAAGGGGTGGGCGGAGCCGGCAGAATCCCACCACTGGCTATAGGGCAGCCCTTTGAAGCCCCGCGGCAAGAATTTAAACAGTTTTTTTTTCCTCTAGCCATCAGCTGGGACTCAGGAGGCAGCAATAGATTGGGAGTGGGCGGGGTAAACTAACGGCCGGCGATCCAACAGAGCAGAGAGTGAGGGTGAGTGAAGGCATGTGGGGGGCGAGAGAGGGCTTTGGCGACCCCTGTGAAATGGCCGTTCGACCCCCAGGTTGAGAACCGCTGCTCCAACTGGTCCAGAATGCAGCCGCGCGGGTGGTGATGGGAGCGACGTGGCTCTCCCATGTGACTCCCCTCCTGCGTGAGCTGCACTGGCTCCCGGTGATCTTCCGGGCGTGCTTCAAGGTTTTGGTTACCACCTTTAGAGCGCTCCATGGCTCAGGACCAGGGTACTTAAGAGACCGCCTTCTGCCACCAGTAGCCTCTCACCGACCAATTCGCTCCCACAGAGAGGGGCTCCTCAGGGTGCCGTCGGCCAAACAATGTCGACTGGCGGCCCCCAGGGGGAGAGCCTTCTCTGTGGGGGCACCTGCCATCTGGAACGAGCTCCCCCCGGAGATACGGAGGATCCAAGACTTACGCACCTTCCGCCGCGTCCTAAAAACGTTTTTATTCCAACAGGCTGGTCTGGCCTAACTCTCCCTTTTAAATTGGGTTTTAAATGTTTTATATAAATTGGATGTTTTAAATTTGTTTCTTGAGACCAAATTATATAATCTATTTTTAATAGCTTTTAACTTTTGTATGTTTTTTTGTATTTTTATCTTGGCTGTTCACCACCCTGAGTCCTCCGGGAGTAGGGCGGTATACAAATATAATAAAATAAAATAAAATATTTAGACATAACATATAAGCATTTCATCTCTAACATTAAACATGGAAATAAACCTTTCACTCTACCCCTACCATTATGTCTGTGTATGTAGTATTTGGATTACTGTCTGACTAACATTCATGATTAGTGGTGAGATGAACTGAAGGACAAAACTATCTGGAGCAAATGACAGCACTTGTCTGGGCTTGAACCTCTGGTCAGGCCTGTTAGGTTGGGCTGGGTGGGCAGAAATCTAGATTGAGAAGACACCCCCCCCCCCAAATCCCAGAAGAGGTCAGCAGTAAACAGTTCTTTACTGTTGCATAGAGGTGTTGTGTAATTCCTGGAATCAAGATCAACTCAAGGACATTTTTGCTATTAGAAGCAGGGGTGAAATGTTACTGGTTCGGACGAGCGTGCATTTCCAAACCAGTAGGGAAGGTAAGTAGATTTCATGCAGATTAGAAAGTAAATCTATAAAAGGTGCCTGGTTGGTCTATTTGTTTCCTAAATGTTTGGTCCACATAATAACCAAATTTCTGTAGCTAAAATGCCACTGCATATATATTTTGACCTTATAATTTTGCTGAAATGCTAACAACAGACATTTTGAGCAAGGCCTCATTAATATTTACCAATTTGCTCTATTAAACGGTAAGGTAAAAGGTAAGGAATATTCCAGCTGGACTCTTACACTGTCATGTCTCTGGGAGGATTCTGATTAACAAGAGTATTTTCTCTTTTTGTGTCTTAAAATGGGATATATATATATATACACACATACCCGTGTTTCCCCGAAAATAAGACCCTATCTTACATGTTTTTGAACCACAAAATAAGCGCTTGGCCTTATTTTCGGGGAGGGCTTATAATTTTGGGGTGCATGGAGCAAGATGGGGCTCCTCTTGCCATCTTACCTGATTTCCAGCTCTGCATTTAAATATTTTCGGGGAGGACTTATTTTCGGGGGGAGGCTTACTTTAGTGCATATACTCAAAAGCTCGATTGGGCTTATTATTTTTGGGGAAACAGGATACACACACACACACACACACACACACACACACACACACACACACACAAAATAAAAGCTGTCATCTATCTATCCTCTATTAAGAGATGGATCATGCCAAAGACCTTTTGATCCAATATTCTTTTTTTTTTTTGTCAGAAAAAAAAATAAGATACAAAATGCAAAAGAAAATGGGAAGACATTGAGGGGAAAGGGAGGAAATAGAAGTGAGGAAGGGCTAGGAAAAAGAAAAAAAAGTGTTGACTTCCGACTCCCTTTGTTGCAGTAAAATAAAGTATTAACATCAAACCACAACTTTTTGCTTTCCCATAGTAATGTAAACTAGCCATTTCTATAAATGCATATCAGTCTAATCGGTAAAACCCAAAATCAAAGCTTCATTTTTTTCTACCTCAAGCACAAAATTCAGAAGCGGTCTCCATGTGGCAATAGTCTTTTCTTTAATCAAAACAGTCAATTTAGCCATTTTTGCCAACCCCATCAGCTTCTATAGTCATTCATCCATGGTGGGAATCAAAATGTCCTTCCATTTTTGTGCATACAGTAGTCTTGCTGCTGTCAATTTATATAAGATCAAAGTTCCGTATTTTTTCTCCAAATCTTTTTCCATTATACCCAAAAGAAGTTTCTGGTTTAATCTTTATTTTCGTTTTAAGAATTTTCTGTATTAAAATATGAATCTTACTCCAAAATTTCTTTGCTTTAACACATATCCACCATAAATGATAAAAAGTACCTTCTTTACTTTTACACTTCCTTTTGAACCAATGTTGAAGTCACATTGATCATTTCAGTAGTAGAAAATTTGGGACTATGATCTGAGTCCAAGAGCATCCTTCCATTAGGATTTTCATTGAGACTGACATTTGCAAAGCAGATAGTTTCCCATATATTTCTGCCATAATATTTAAGATATTACCGTAACAGTTTTGGGGGAAAGTCTGCATTCAGTAGAGATAATATTGCTTAGGAAAATTAACACATTTTAAGTTACAGAATAAGCTTTAAGTTCAAAGATATTATAGTTGCCTAATTATAGTGGCCAGATGTTACTTAAAACCCAAATAATAGGTTAATTTATTAGTGGAAAAAGTAGATCCAATCTTCAGCAATATGAATTAGTTTAGATTTGCAAAGAACACCTGGGATCCCTCTCTAACTATGATTTTTGTTACTGTACCAGGGAGCCAATGTGAATTTTAGAACAACAGATTGTGTATCGCCTCTCCATGAAGCTTGCTTAGGAGGACATGCTGCATGTGTCAGTGTCTTATTAAAACATGGGGCCAATGTAAGTACTCAAAAATCTAGAGTTATATAGTGCATGCAAGAAAGAGAAATAATTTGCTAGAGACTAACTTGGTAGCTTCGCTACTGAATGTAAACTGCCATTGATTTTCTTGTACACTTTTTCAACAAAGTAATCCAACTAATATTGGGGAAAAATAATCTGATTCCTAATATTATTATTCCTAATAAACCCAAATCAGCATTAATGTGCTAGAAGTGCTTTTGCTATCTGTTGCTACTAATTAACAGTATCTTCCTTTTGTGAAGAAAGGTGAACAAGGGGATTAAATGTTCTTGACAGAAATGTCCTCTCATTTTAGCTATGTTGGAACAAGGTGAGAAATGTACTTTCTGCCAATGCTCAGAAACTCTCATTTATATCCACACAAACAAACCCACCTATTCAGGGCTGACAATGTTTAAAAGAGCCCAGATCCTATCTTGTCTTCAATCCAAATAGTGGCATATATTCCTTTTTTGTATTAAAATATATTTATGGAGCTACTATGATAATAAAATGTCATTGCAAAACACTTTTTCTATAGCATTTTATAAAATTTTTCAACATGTTTTACAAATAAAACATTACAGTACCAGGTTTTTCCCTTTAGGTAAATGCCACTACTATTGACTGGAACACACCCCTGTTCAATGCTTGTGTCAGTGGTAGCGTTGACTGCTTGAACCTGTTACTACAACACAGAGCCAGCCCTCATCCAGTTTGTGACCTGGCATCCCCCATCCATGAAGCTGCTAAAAGAGGTAAATTTGTCAGCGTATGTACCTATATACCAGGGTAACAAGAGGGGTACAACTTTGTGAAATGATATATTTGTTGTTTCATTCCACACAAATTCTATACAAATCCACAAATTTTGTCTGTTTGTTATATGAATATTGTATAATAAAATGTTAGCTATCTGTTGTTTGGACTATAAAACAAATATCTAGGTGTGTTACAAATAATAATATCAGGGCTGGAGAATCTGTGGTCCCTCAAATGGTGCAGAGTAGCCATTCCCAGCAGCCTCAACCTCAAGAGCAATGCTGAAGAACATGGAACATTGCAGTTCATCTGGAAAGCCCATCACTTTCTCATCCTTCAGTCATAGCATTAGAATTTTCTCTTTGGTCAGATCACTTTGACATCACTTCCATCTTAATATCTCCACCTATCACAGCTTTGAAATGTTGAAAAATATAAAGCTAAAATTAGTGCTCTGCCTTTAGCTGCTGCAAATCCCTTAGCAACAAAAATTTCTATATTTTCATTCTACACAAAACAAAGGGAAAAACAAACTCAGCAGTAGTCTGGCCTTTTGCAGGCTGGCTCATCCAATGTTGAAGAAAAGGGGAAAAGGAGACAAAATTATTTAACCTGCCTGTTTATCTGAGCTACAGAAGAGGATTTGAAATTGCTCTATAGGATCTCTATTCTTTATTGAATTCTAAAACTTGCTGCTGAGCTGGAAATAAATATTCTCTGTTTCCTAACCCTGTTGACTTTGCACTGTTGACTCCAGATGGGGCCTGGATCTCTTTCAACTGGCATAAATACTTGTGTGGAAAACTCCTGCTGCTCTTCCCCACCCCTCCACCCCAAATATGAACATTAATATTGGTTACAATTGCTCTTATCTTTGGGAAGACTATATTTAAATGTTATTATTGCTATACAGATAGACCTCAACTTACGACCACAATTGAGCCCAAAATTTATGTTTCTAAGTGAGAAATTTGTTGAGTTTTGCCTCATTTTATATCTTTTCTTGCCAAATTTGTTAAGTGAATCACTGCAGTTCTTAAATTAGTAACACAGTTGTTAAGTAAATCTGGTTTCCCCATTGACTTTGCTTGTCAGAAGGTTGTAAAAGGGAATCACATGACCCCAGGACACTGCAACAGGGGTGAAATGCTCCCGGTTCGGACCGGATCGCCCGATCCGGTAGCGATGGTGGCGGGTGTTTCAGAGAACCGGTAGCAAAAATTCCTGCGCCCCCACCCCCGCCATGCCCAGCTGAGTCGCACGATCATCAGAGGCTTTTTTTTAAAAACTTTTCAAAACATTTTTTCTACAACCTCTTCCGCTGAAAAAATGCTTTTAAAAGTAAAAAAAAAAAGCCTCTGATGATCATGCAGCTCAGCTGGGATCGTCAGAGGCTTTTCAAAGCATTTCTTTTTGCAACCTCGTCGGCCGAAGAGGTTGTAGAAAAAATGCTTTGAAAAGTTTAAAAAAAAAAAGTTGGCCATGCCCATCCAGTCACATTACCTCCCCCCACAAAGCCACGCCCACAGAACCGGTAGTAACAAATTTTACATTTCACCCCTGCACTGCAGCCATCATAAATGTGAGTCATTTATCAAGTCGAGGACTACCTGTATGGCCAAACAAGACATGAAATTGCTTTTGGTATGTTGACAAGGATTTCTGGCTCCACAGCCTAGCTGTCTAAATGGGCTTGAATATAAAGCTTGTCTTTGTAGCCACAGTAATATGTTCTGAGTCCAGAGCAAAGTATGTTGATATAAAAACTGCCCTCACAGTCGACCTTACAATTCTTCACCAATGAAGCTGGTCTTTGTTGTTGTCTTATCCCCCCACTGATACTTTCAAGACATTGAAGGGGGGGTCTCCCCTTGGGGGTCTCCTGGCCAGCATTTCATTTCCTTTTTGATGTCACCTGTTGTTGGAAAAAAACAATCCCCAATTGCTTTCCTTAAAGTTCAGGTGGGGCAGGTTGAAGGCTCAAACTGTCTTTTTATATAATGTAGGTATTTTGCATTTATTTATAATATTTTGTTCACCTTGGAAATTAAAGAGATTAAGGGACAGGAGAGGAATAGGTTCTGAGAAATGCATAAAGGGAATCTGACCATCAGAAGTAGATTTCTGAGATGCCTTTTCTTCATCCAGTCAAAGCAAGATGTGTCTTATTGCTCAATCTGGAAATACAATCTGGATAGTAATTCCGTCTTCCTACTCCTAATGATTGACGGTTCAAGCCTTGTAATAGGAAATGTAAAAGGAAGAAGCTCATGCTTCTGATACTCTATCCTGAGGCCCTGCAATCCATAGACTTAGTTCTCTTTTGGTTCTCAACTGGAAAACCCTCATGCCTTCACACTGATAGGATTCAATTGGAGGGCAAAACTGTCCCTGCTAAAATGAGATTGCTGCTCAACAAAGCCTGCATTGCTACTCTGATGCTGTTGGAGTTTTGTCCTGTGGTGGTGGTGTGATGGTGGTCGCCATTTTTGGCCAGTGGGAGAACTACACATTAACTACCGTTTAGGGGCACTCTTCACTGGTTCAGCCACTTCTGCATAGCCAGATGGCATGGGCTGTGAAGGACCTGAGTATGAACCCATAACTATAATGGAAGAAGGTTGGTCAGAGAAAGAAATTGGAAAACTTTTGAAGTTTCAGTCATTTGTAAAAACCAGTGAGTCTTTGTTCACCTTTCACATGAAAACAGCTGGGGTCTAGTTTTGGGGCTCAAATTTAATTTTTAATTCCTTTTGATCCTTTGAAGGTCATACCAAATGTGTGGAAACTCTTCTGTCCAATGGAGTCAGTATTGACCATAACATAAAGCATCTTGGAACTCCACTGTATGTCGCTTGTGAGAATCAACAGTTGAAATGTGCCAAAAAGTTACTTGAGTCAGGTAATTCAATAAAAGATATATAATATCAACAAATCATTTTTCATGCCTGAAAATGTCTATGGGTAGAGGACAGAGGCATTAATGGGAATAGCTCTGGGAGGTCAATAGTATTTGTAGATTGTATTTTGATAGAGAGGGAAGGGTATGGTGACTAGGGCAGTACACCACTACAACATTCCTGTGTCTCTCTTCAATTGGTCCACCCAGGCACCTTCCCTCTTAATTTAGTAATATAAGTCATGCTTGAAGAGAAGAAGATGAGCCATATTGGATAAAACTAAAGCCTCAGTTAATTCTAGAGCCTTGGTAGTACAGTGGTTTAAGGCACCCTGTTATTAAGCTGGTTATTAAGACCAGCTGCCTGCAATTACTGCAGGGTTCGAATCTCGCCAAGGCTCAAGGTTGACTCAGCCTTCCATCCTTTCTAAGGTAGGTAAATTGAGGACCCAGTTGTGGGGGCAATAAGCTGACTTTGTATAAAAATATACAAAAGTATGAAGGCTATTGCTGAGCACATTATAAGCCGCCCTGAGTCTTCAGAGAAGGGCGGCATATAAATCAAATTAAAAAAAAAAAATTCAGCCTTCTTCCATAATGGCTAACCACAGGTACTTAGGGGAAGCTCAGGAGCAGGAAGAATACAGCAAGAGGGAATGCATCTCTCTTACTCATGTTTTTCAGAATACTGCTCTTTGGTATTAGAAGTAATAGTCATGTTCCTAATATTTATTAGCTGTCTTCATCCTTTCATTAATGTGTATAACCTTCTTTTAAAAGACATTTCTATTAGTGACTAACATATCTTGCTTTGTTCCTCATATTGATTTAAAACTACAGTGAACAAATCCACAATGAACTCATGGTGAAGTAGCAGATTCCTATAAGGTTATCAAGAAGCTTAACCAAATATAATTGCCAAAACACAGTGGCTTCTAGTTCTTTTTATTTCGTCAGTTTGGCTGGGAACCCTGACAAGATATATGTCTGGAGGCCGTGCGGATCTGGATGGGGAGGAACAGGCTCAGGCTCAACCCATCCAAGACCGAGTGGCTGTGGTTTCCAACGTCCCGATATAGTCAGTTGACGCCATTGCTGACTATTGGGGGTGAATTGCTGGCCCCCACAGAGAGGGCTCGCAACTTGGGCTTCCTCCTGGATTCACGGCTGTCTTTAGAAGAGCACTTGACGGCCGTGAACGGGAGGATTTTTCATCAGGTTTGCCTGATTCGCCAGTTGCATCCCTTTCTGGATCGGGACTCCCTACACACAGTCACTCATGCCCTCGTCACCTCCCGCCTGGACTATTGTAACGCTCTCTACATGGGGCTCCCCTTGAGGAGCACCCGGAGGCTCCAACTGGCGCAGAGTACGGCCGCGCGGGTATTTATGGGAGCAACATGGCGCTCCCTTGTGACACCTCTCCTGGGCGAGCTGCACTGGCTCCCGGTGGTGTTCCGGGTGCGCTTCAAGGTTTTGGTTACCACCTTTAGAGCACTCCATGGCTTAGGACCTGGTTATTTACAGGACCGCCTACTACCACAAACAGCCTCCCACTGGCCGGTACGCTCCCATAGAGAGGGGCTCCTCCAGGTGCCGTCAGCCAAGCAGTGTTGACTGGCGGCCCCCAGGGGGAGGGCCTTCTCTGTGGGGGCACCCACTATCTGGAACGAGCTCCCCCCGGAGATACGGAGGATCCCGGATCTGCGCATTTTCCGCCGTGCACTTAAGACCCTCCTATTCCAGCAAGCCGGCCTGGCCTAATTTTCTCCCCCTTTTTAAAAATTTTAAATTGAAATTTTAATTTGTTTTAAATTATTGGGATTTTTAATTGTCTTGGGCTAAATTATTTAATTTGGTTTTAATTGTGTTTCTAACTTTTGTATTTATGTATTTTATTCTGTGCCTGTTCACCGCCCTGAGTCCTTCGGGAGTAGGGCGGTATATAAATTTAATAAAACAAAACATAAACAAACAAACATATTCCTGCACAGTAATGAATTTTCCTCTGTAGATTTATTTACAAAAAATTATATGCCGCCTACTCAGTAGATTATATAAATTAGGGGTGTCAAAATGACAGGCTGTGAGCTGGATGTGTCACATGCAGGCCACGTCCACCCCAGCTCCGCAAAGGGAAAACGTCATGTGATGGCAACGTGACGCAAGTTTGACACCCATGGTATAAACCAGTGATGGCTAACCTTTTTGCCATTGAGTGCCAAAAGCAGGGGGAGTGCAGGGGGGGTCATGCATGTGCATGTCCACACCCATAATTCTATGTGCCCCACTCCCTGTTCATGTGCGCACAACACCCCATGGTCCCTCCGCTTTTGGTACGCGATGGCACGGTGGGCCAGGTAGACCCCTTTTTCACCCTCCCCAGGCTCCAGAAGCTTTCTAGGAGCCTGGGGAGGGCAAAAATGGCCTTTCCCAGTCTCCGGAGGCCTTCCAGAGGCTGGAAATGGCCCGTTTCCCATGGTGGGCACAGAAGGACCGAAATTAGCTGGCCGGCACGCGCATGTGACCTGGAGCTGAGCTAGGGCAATGCTCGTGTGCCCACAGATATGGCTCCACGTGCCACAGGTGGCACGCATGCCATAGTTTCACCATCACAGGTATAAACCATATCTTCTCAGGGCCTTTTCTTCAGCAATTGTGTCTGGATTGAAGAATTTGGTTAGTTAATTTTTCATTGCAACTTTTTCCTGAAAACCTCAGCCTGAGGGAACACATGCATTGTAAACAGAAACGAATTTGGAATTATTTAAAAATGAATGAACTGTCACAGTTTCCTGCAAAAAAACCTCACTTTGCTGTTTTGCATTAAGAATACTGAGCATTCTTAATGTCCTATTTCAGATCAGTACAATTGATACATTACTTTGGCAGTAAACCTCAGCATTTAAACAGTTTAAAGCTATTTCAAATCAAGAAATGATTATTTAGGAGGCTTTATGCTCCTTTGGCAATCTATAAACTGGAAATTATTCAGATGGATCTGAGATAGCAAAAGAAAGAAATTAAGTTACTGTTTGTTTAATAGTTCTATCTCATTTGTTTTAGGCGCAAGTGCAAATAGCGGAAAAGGCCTGGATTCTCCTCTCCATATAGCTGCTCAAACCTCCAATGTCGACATGGTCCATTTGCTCATTGACTTTGGAGCAAATACTAGGGCTGTTAATGCAGAAGGCAAAAAGCCAATAGAGCTGGTTCCAGCCAACAGTGCACTAATGCAGATATTTCTGCAGAGAGAAGGTGCCCATTAACCTTTGTTTCTTTCACACGCAGAGTACATTATGTTAAGAACCTGAGGCATGCTTTGAATGGACATATCTGTATCATATTGTTAACTCTTATCAATATGCCAGAATGTGCTCTTATCACATACAATATTGCTAATATTTCCTCTAACTTGCTAATGCCATAATGTGGGTGCAACCTTATAATAGTCAAAGGGAATGCACATGGAGATAGATCCAATTACTTCTTGTGAGACATAGATTTCAGACAAAAGGAAGAATGGATTTTTTCCAAAGCTGAAGTTTCAGTTTTGATATTGTTACAATCATAGTTCACATTGTAGATTTTTATAAACATATTGAGTTCAACAGGAAAATGCAAAAAAGAAGGAAAACTTTGTAGCTAGAATGTGTATGTGTTACACATATTGCTGGATATATCTTCAGCAGGAAACTGGTTCATAATATATTTCTAGCTAGAATACCTTTATTCTCAGTAAATGTGTACCCATGCGTGATTGTACACATTATTATACTGTGTACAAAACCAAGACACAAAGTGACCCAAGATTTGTAAAAAATTTGTTCTACTATAGTAAATTGTTTTGACTGGTACTGTGACAGGATTGTTTAATTCCAAATTAAAACAAAAATTATTATATGGTACTGTTGGAAGAAATTTCCCTGGTTTGTTCCCAGCTGGGAAGCAGTCACTGATGCTGAGAAGAAATAGATGTGGAAGCAGCTGCCAGAAAAGGGATCCTTTAATTCACGAAGGCAAGAAAAGTAGTGAACACAGCTCAAGCATTCCTGGCTTGCAAGCAGACTTGGAAGTGTGACTCTGAGCCCTTTATTTTTAATTCCCCTTTGAAGCTCCTGCAGCTTGATGGGTTTATTTGTGTGCCTCTAGTTAAAGTTAAAGTGATTGCCCTGGATCCCATCTTCCTTCCTTAATGGGTTAATCCTGTTCCTGGGGCTTTATCTTTCCTATCCTGGGGGTTAATTCTGCCAGGAAAGATGAAAAGGGGAGTTCCAGGTGAGTTATTTTTAATCTGATTCCCTTTATCTTAATGCCTCTATTTAGCTCTGTTAGCAGGGCTGCTCTATGTTTTTCTTTCAGCTGGTGCTTCTTGGTTTTCTTAAAGGGGGAAGGGCTGGCTTGAGTCTCTTGGCACTGTTTTCTGAGGTTTCTGGTGCTATGAGGTTCTTGGCACTGTCCCCCTAGGGTACACTTCCCACAATATCTTCTGCAATCTGTATGGTACTATATTGCTGTGACTGCTTTAAAGGTTACATGAATCTCACCATTGGCACAGATTTAAAAGCTTGATTAGTTATCTATTTTAAACTGCTTTTTGTGACTGATTAACTTTAATCTTCAACAGTTATCCTAGATTAGGATAAACAAACTAACAATAATTAAGTATGTTATAGTTTGGAATGTTCTGCTTCTTATAGCCAGTTGAGAAGTAAATGTTTTCTTTAATTATTGTTATTCTGGATTGCAAGGAACTAAAACTAGTTTGAATTCTTTAGAAAACAGATTTTAAGATTATTCTTGTGTGTTTTGTTTTGTTTTGTTTGGCATTTTTTTCTTTAGGGCCATTCTCCTTGATGCAGTTATGTCGCCTGTGCATCCGGAGTTACTTGGGAGTCAAAAAGAAAAAGAGAATTAGTGAACTTATGTTACCAGATGAGCTAAAGAAGTTTCTTTTATATGTATAAAAAGTGTTATATTCCTTGCTGATACATACTGTGCAAGTTTTACTTCCTAGCAAAATTGTTTGTACAATTTACATTCCAAATATTCGATCAGGATTTTCAATAGGGCTAGTTTGTTTACCCCTGCATATTTTAATTGTTAGTTCCTATTTGGACATTAACTAAATTTAAGAACTAAATTAAAAAGAAGTAAAGATCTTGTAGCAGAATTTCAATTCCATATAGCTGATTATCTGAGGTGTGTTATAAATGCTTCTCTCGTAAATAGAAGATGCCAAGCATATACAATATTGTGTTCTGTTATTATTAACAATTTTCTGTGATATGGTCCCACAACTAATCAACAAAGTATTATTGTTGTTATTATCATTAACAGTTTTCAGGAAATTACATTGTTTAACAAAGACTGGCAGTGTGATGTTTGTAAGAACTGGTATGGGCACAAACACTCTCCATGGCATGTTTGGATTTCTTGACTAATTAAAATACATAAAAAGGGAAAGTTAGGTAAGTTTCATTGAGTTTGGGTCAACAACAACAAAAATTTATTATTACAGTCTTAGACCAGGGACCAGAACAAATAAAAGCTCTCAGTATATATACACTTAAAAATTCTAGTATAAAATAATAAATAACAACTGAAATCTATAATAAAATACAGTGTCAATTATACATATGATTGCAACTATATGATAGTTGCAATCCCTAAACTGTGTGGCCTGTTGTAGATTCAACGCTAAACGGGAAATGACTAAGCAGCGCAAAGGGTTTGCCACAATTGTTATATAACATCGCTATGGTGGAGAAGACACATCTTTGTGATGAATCCCCAGTGCTGCTGCGCAGAATCTAGCCACCTGGGCTGTAGTTTTGGACTGTTCATCCTTAAGCAACCACTGAAGATAGGTAGTGTTGGAATGGCCAAGATACCTAGCAGTTTTGGCAGAATATGTTTTTTCCTAATTTCCGTATAAAAGGAACATCTAAGGAGCATGTGTCCCACAGTCTCCACTCTCCTGAGCCACAGGGACAGAGTCTTTCCGTGAACAATATCCTTTTATACTTGCCATATAGGATGGCCGATGGAAGCCCATGGCACCGTGTGAGTGCAAATGCTTTCCCATAGTTTGCTGACTCCAACTGACTAAGATAGCTGGCAGGAAGAACAACACATCTAATGACATCTGGAGCGAGAAACAACGGAGGTTTCCCTAAGTCCGCCTGCCTCTCGATGTCCTCCACCCTTTGTCGCAAGGTTTGTCTTGCTAGATCCTAGTCCATCTTGAGTATTAAAGCTGGGGAGAAGCCTAGTTTGGCAAGGATGGACTCGACAGCCTTGATCCATGGTGAAGAGAATTTGTCTTGGAGAATTAATGGAGCAAGACCTTGCGAAAAGAAGTTAAGCTTTAGCCAGAGATTTAAGAACGCTATACAGATTCTTGCTTTGACTTTTGTCAATCCTGTTTCCAGGCACAGAAGTACATTTGAGACACAACGTGGCATCTGGAGAATTGATCTAATGAATTTTGATTGAACTATTTCTAATGATGCAAAACATGAAGCTGATGGTCCGAGCAAGGTCCATAAAGAAGTTGTGCTAGTGACTTGGCCAGAAAAAGCTTAATTGCAGCAGGGACATAATATCTTCCCTTTGTGCGTAAAAATTTAAGAATGATGCTCGCTGATCTTTGGCCCAAGGCAGCTGCATATTCTCCATGTGCTTTTCTTGAATGATTGGCCTGAATGACCACCCCCAGGTATTTGAAGGTGGTTACCTGCACTATTTTGTGGCCATTTAGGTACCATGAATAAAGTTTTGGCCTTTTAGCAGAGGCCATGATCTTTGTTTTCTCATAATTTATATCCAGTTTATTGTAATTACAGTACTGGAGAAGGGCTCACAAGGCTCTTTTAAAGCCTACTGGTGTCCTGGAGAGGATCACAGCGTCATCTGCATAGAGCAGGAGGGCGATGCTTTGGTCACCTATTTTTGGGAGATTATTTGGTTTGCTTAGCCATTTTACCATGTCGTTTATGTAAAAGGTGAAAAGCAGGGGGGCCCAAATGCACCCCTGTTTAACCCCCTTTTGAGTTTTAACTGACTTTGAGAGGGACCCTTGCATATTACACCTCACCTTGAGGGATGTTTTAGTATGTAGGGCACATAATAGATGAAGAAGCCTGTGGTCAATTGAGGCAGTTTCCAACTTCTCCCATAGTTTAGTCCTGGTAACCGTATCAAAGGCTGCCTTGAGATCTACAGTTGCAAGAAAAAGTATGTGAACCCCTTGGGATTACGAGGAGTTTTGCATGAATTGGTCATAAAATGTGCTCTGAACTTCATCTAAGTCACAACAATAGAAAAACACAGTCTGCTTAAAATAATACTACACAAACATTAAATGTTGCCATGGTTTAATTGAACATAACATGTAAACATTCACAGTGCAGGGAGGAAAAAGTATGTGAACCTTTGGACTTAATAACTGGTTAACCCTCCTTTGGCAGCAATAACCTCAACCAAACATTTCCTGTAGTTGCAGATCAGACCTGCACAACGATCTGGAGTAATTTTGGACCACTCCTCTTCACAAAACTGTTCCAGTGTAGCAATATTCTTGGGACGTCTGGTGTGAATCGCTCTCTTAAGGTCATGCCACAGCATTTCAATCGGGTTGAGGTCAGGACTCTGACTGGGCCACTCCAGAAAGCATATTCTGTGCTGTTGAAACCATTTTTTTGTTGAATTACTTGTATGCTTTGGGTCATTGTCCTGTTGCATCACCCATCCTCTGCGGAGCTTCAGTTGGCGGACAGATGGTCATACGTTTTCCTGCAAAATGTCTTGATAAACTCTGGAATTCATTTTCCCATCAATGACAACAATCTGTCCAGGCCCTGAGGCAGCAAAGCAGCCCCAAACCATGATGCTCCCTCCGCCATGTTTTACAGTGGGGATGAGGTTTTAATGTTGGTGTGCTGTGCCTTTTTTTCTCCACACATAATGTTGTGTGTTCTTCCCAGACAACTCAATGTTGGTTTCATCTGTCCACAGTATATTTTGCCAGTAGTGCTGTGGAACATCCAGGTGCTCTTTTGCAAACTTCAAACGTGCTGCAATTTTTTTTTGGGACAGCAATGGCTTCCTCCATGGTGTCGTCCCATGTACTCCATTCTTGTTTAATGTTTTCTTTATTGTAGATGTGTCAACAAAAATGTTAGCATGTGCCAGAGATTTCTGTAGGTCTTTAGCTGACACTCTAGGATTCTTCTTTACCTCATGAAGCATTCTGCGCTGTGCTCTTGCAGTCATTTTTACAGGACGACCACACCTAGGGAGAGTAGCAACAGTGCTAAACTTTCTCCATTTGTAGACAGTCTGTCTTACCGTGGACACATGAACATCAAGGCTTTTGGAGATACTTTTGTACACATACTTTTTCTTTCAACTGTATAAAACTGGCGTATAATGATACAGGTCTATTTGATATGTATTTTTCAATCAGATGATGATGAACTAAGCAATGATCTGTGGTGCCTCTCCCCTCTCTAAACCCGGCTTGTTCTTCAGCGATCAAATTCTCAAGATCCAGCCACTCCTTTAGTTTATCTTGGAGGTGTTTGGCATAAAGTTTGCTGATTATGTTTAGCAGATTTATTGGTCTGTAATTGGCAGGGTCATCTCTCTTTCCCTTTTTAAAAATTGGGACAACAATTGCCAAGTCCCAATCTTCTGGGACATAGCCAGTGGAGTCGATATAAATGAATAGCGCTGCCAGAACTGGTATCCACCACTCCAAATTGTTCTTTAGTAATTCAGTGGTAATGAAGTCAGCTCCTGGGGCCTTCCCAGTCCTGAGTTGGCCAATGAGCGATTTGATTTCGGACTCTGAAATCAGGGGCCATTCAGGTAAGTCCTTCATTGTATACCTTACACTCTCGCTGGAGGGGTCTTCATACATTCTCTGAAAGTGAAGATTCCAGGTTGTAGGAGGTATATGAATATCTAATGGGGTATGAATTCTATCAGAATGACTAGCTATTAGACGCCAGAATAAAGAATTTTTTTTTGCTTTGCTGCCACAATAAGTTGTTCCCAGGAGGACCTTGTGTCGTCTCTTCTTAAGAGCAATCAGTTGCTTATATTGTTTTTTGAGAGTAATAAGATGTTTAAGACTTATTTTATTACCATTCCCAGTCTCGCTTTTGTACAACTTATAAACCAAGGTTAGAGCTTTCTTGGCTTCTATACAATCCTTGTCAAACCATGGTTTGGAGGCGATACAGGGCCTCTTAGCTGATAGGTTCCAGTCATGTACTACCGTGTTTTCCCAAAAATAAGACCCTGTCTTATATTTTTGTGAACCCTGAAATAAGCACTTGGCCTTATTGCCATGCACTCAAATGCCCAATTGAACTAATTATCAGGGGATGTCTTATTTTGGGGAAAACAGGGTAGTAATGGTTGTAACTTATGAACTATGTTTATATAGTTCTAGTAAATCTTGGGAGGGGTTGGCTGTAAAAAAGACTGGGTCATTGACCTGTAATTAAAAAAACTGAAAAGAAATTTAGTATGCTATAAGATAACAGACTATAGCATCATCTTTGTTTATAAGAAAGCTTTCTTTACACAGACATTTTTAGAAAATAATGTCTAGCGCAATTCTTTATTTAAAATTATTCCCATCCACTCATTATAGAATTACAAAATAAATATGGATGGGCCAGAGCAGTTGGGAAAACTAAAAATGGTTGCTTCAAAGGATTTCATTGGTTTACCATGTGGTAAATGGGTGTTTTATGTCCACATAAGCCATTTTGTAAAGAACACATGAAATATGTTCTGTAGAAGCAGATATCCAATCAGACTCTTATAAAAGTAACTGCTAGAACATGGACCAGTAGAATTCTGTCAATCTCTTATTGAGTTTTTGAGAGAATTCTTGAGGAAAATATAATGAAATAACTATAAACTGCAATCCAGAGCTCAAAAAACTTTGTTCTTCTGCATTAAAAAAAATCAATTACTTTTTTTCCCCTTTTACATCAAAACAGAAAAGATTACTTAGACTCAATCAAGTACTGGGAATGAATGCTGCCTGCTGGTGTTCTGAATCTCATACTGTTTATTTCAAGGGTGCCACAGATAATGGGGTTAAAAGATGGGTGGATTCACAGGGGTTGGGTTTAAGGTACAATTGGAATTATTAGCAAATTGAACAGAAAATGGAGCGGTAGTCAAACAAGGCAATTTATATATCAAATTGCCAAGATGTTAAACCATGTGAAAAGATGTTGCTGTCAGACCTAATGACTGATAAAAAGTGTTAGAAAACTTCAGGTGCAAGTCTTTTATGTTCTATGAACTACAAGGGTATCAAGAATAGGTCTTGTAAATGTGAG